GTCTTTTTTTTTTTTTTTGTTTTGTGTGTGTGTGTGTGTGTGTGTGTGTGTGTGTGTGTGTGTGTGTGTGTGTGTGTGTGTGTGTACGTGTACACTTGTTTATACTACATTGTAAGGACCAACTGTCCCCACAAGGATAGTAAAACTTGAAATTTTTGACATTGTGGAGACACAAGGGGAAAAAATGATTAAAAACCGTAAATTATGTTTATCTGAAAGTGTAAGAATGCAAATAGGTTTAGGGTTAGGGTTCGGTTAGGGGATAGAAAATATTGTCTGGTCAGTATAAAAGTAAAGTCCCCACAATTCACAGAAACAAACGTGTGTGTGTGTGTGTGTGTGTGTGTGTGTGTGAAATAATTTGTCGTCTTTCTTGAAAATGTTATATTTTTTCTTTATTCATTTGTCTCTTCTGTAATAATTTACTAAGTTTAACCAAGTTTGGGATCTGTAAAATGTAAGTATTTTTGAAACTAGTGTCTTATGTTCATCAAGGTTGCTTATTTGTTCAAAAATGCAATAAAACAGTCATATTGTAATATATTATTAGAATTTAAAATGACAGATTTCTATTTTAACATATTTTCAAATGTAATTAATTCCTGTGAATTTTCAGCAGCTGTTACTCCAGTGATGCACAAGTGTCTGTTGTTACATATATTTCAATGTCTCGCCACTTAACTTTTTATAACATGCTACTGCTGATTCACAGTACATTTATTATTGCACACAATTCTAAGAAATCTAAAAGGATGTCAACAAAACAACCAAAAATACACCAGATATGCCTCTGTTTATATAAATCAAACGGTTTGACCCCAAGTTGGATTTTAACCATCAGCATGCCATCGATGCTCATGTACAGCATTACCCCCAACTCCAGCCCAAATCTTCCCCCTCTCTATTCACTGTCGTTCCTCCCCATGCTCATTTCAGTCAGTCTGTAGGGGGCTGAGGTGGCACCGGCTCTTTGTTTGCTTGTCTTTGCTGTCCCTTGTGTTGCATCGAGACAAAGGCTATTGTCAGTGCAGCCACAGAAAGACACTCTGGCTCTTGGTTCTCCGTATTTTCTCACACTCTTCATGCCGTGGTACAGACCTGCTCCGTCGTCCACCCCCACAATGCAGCATATGATACGGCTGGAGGAAGAATGCCCATTTACACCAATCCACCCAGACTCACGCACTTCGCTGCAGCTGCTGCTTTGTTGCAATGGCACGTTGCAGTGTTTCAGATTTGGCACATGTGGATGGATTGTGAATAGATGTCTGTGACAGTATGAGCTTGTTATATTATTTTGGATTTGATGAGCACTGTTTGCAGTGTATATTGTGTCAAAAATGGTGTGCACGAAACTGGTTCCCAGCGCCAAAACAACTGGGAAACAGGCTTCTGTTTTGAGAAACTCTCCTTAGTCAACAACAGACTTGTATGATTTATGTTGAAAATGTGAGAGGTGTTTGCCTGTGCACAACCACCTTAATGCTGGAGTGTTGGGGCTGTTTGCCAGGTTGTCGCTATGCAGTTGCTAAAAGGGTAATTTCATGGTGGTTATTTGCTACACCAAAATTTAATTATTTTGGTTAGTGGTTTGTTTAAATTACCAACTATGAGCACAAGTGCTCCAGAAACGTCAGACTTCAAGGATTACATTGCTCAGTGTTGGCAGTTTGGGGATTTTTCTCATTTTTCTCGTATGATAAACTTCAGGTGATATGATCAAATTTGCGTGATCTGGTAAGAGCTCTAGCAGCTGCATTTTGCGGATGCAGGACAGCCAGCAAGTAATGCATTATAATAAACCAGTATTGAGGCCATGAATGCATGAACTAACTTTTGAGCATCAGAAAGGGAAAACATGTTGGTGGTAGATGGAAGAAGGCTGTTTTAGTGATATGAGACTTCAAAAGTTGCTGTTGAATTTAACTTGCTGCTTTTTAACTGTGGAGGATGGAACAATACTACTTATGTCTAGATGCAAATTATATTGTACACTGTAAAAGACAGATCTGTAAAATAACAGAAAAAGTGCTGGCAGCTCATTACACAGGACATTATCCATTCATTTTACGACATTTTACAGACATTTCCGTTAATTATAACAACGAAATGCAGTGTAAAATTCAAAATACTGGTAAAACACTGGAAAAATATGGAAAAATTCCATCAAATTATGCAGTACATTGTGCCCTATTTTTACCTTTTTTTTTTTTTAATCTTTTTTTTTTATAGAGTGTAAGATCTTATGTGTACAGGTTTTTGGCCCATTGAGTAATATCTCTGGTTTATCAGAATTTAATAAAACACTCTAATAATAATAATAATAATACTTTTTGTAAAATGCTGTGGCAAAACATGTTATTTGATTCAAAGTAAGTTCTTAAATTTTGTTTATTTGTTTGTTTTAATAATATCCATTCATTTTACGACATTTTACAGACATTTCCGTTAATTATAACAACGAAATGCAGTGTAAAATTCAAAATACTGGTAAAACACTGGAAAAATATGGAAAAATTCCATCAAATTATGCAGTTCATTGTGCCCTATTTTTTCCTTTTTTTTTTTTTTTATCTTTTTTTTTTATAGAGTGTAAGATCTTATGTGTACAGGTTTTTGGCCCATTGAGTAATATCTCTGGTTTATCAGAATTTAATAAAACACTCTAATAATAATAATAATACTTTTTGTAAAATGCTGTGGCAAAACATGTTATTTGATTCAAAGTAAGTTCTTAAATTTAGTTTATTTGTTTGTTTTAATAATATATTTACATTCGGTTTTAATAATAAATCTTATATTGTGAAAGTTAAAATGAAAGTTTATTGCATTATTTTAGTTGTGTATTATCATGATGGTGTTTTGTATTTGTGTGTTACTGGACTGTACCGTAACATTCTGGCAAATAATCGTTGCCATTTTTTATCACTTTTAACTTGGATAATTTAGAATTGTCATCTAGTCTAGAAGTGGCCACATGTATAAGGAAAACAGCAGAGGGCCTAATACAGATCCTTGTGGTAATGTGCCAATTCTAAGTGTCAGATATGATGAATCATCAGAAAATGACATAAACTGATCCTTCGTATGCTTTTGTTATGAATCTCAGGTTGTTATGAATGCTGTATGCGTTGTCTGGGAGGAGTGCCGTATGTCTCTCTGGTGGCCACTCTGCTGTGTTTCTCTGGCATTGCTCTGTTCTGCGGCTGTGGACATCAGGCCCTTACAGAGAGCGAAAGACTTATCGAGACGTACTTCACCCGTGACCATCAGGACTACATCGCCCTAGCGTACCTGTGCGTGCCAGTAGCATCTCTCTCATCATTTATGTTTAATCCAGATTAATCTATTTCAATTTTCACTTTATTTACCCATAATCACAAGCTTCACAATAAAAAACGATATGAAATGACAAGTTTGAATAAAGCTTTTTTAAGGTATCAAAAATGAATTTGTGCTTGAAGTAGCCCATGCTCCTTCTTATTTTTTGTGTAGAACGATCAGTAATTTTAACATCTTTTTATTGCAAACGTGTCTCTCTCTCTCTCTCTCTCTCCTGTAGTATTGAGTATTTTCAGTACATCATTTATGGCCTGGCCTCCTTCTTCTTCCTGTACTGTATAGTCCTGCTGGCTGAAGGTTTTTACACCACCAGTGCAGTCCGGCAGTCATTTGGAGAATTTCGTAGTACAGTTTGTGGTCGCTGTCTCAGCACAATGGTGAGTGATGTGCAGTGCGAGTTTCACTTTGCGTTGGCTACGTTCCGAAATGTTGCACCCTCGTGTTGTTACAAACACGTATGCCTTTCTTCCTTTAAGCAAAAGGGGAAACTTTAAAGAATTTGCACATTGCTCATTTCCATACGATGAACGTATATAGTTATCAGAGGCTGCCAAGTTTCAAAATGTTGATATTGAAAACACTGAATATTTCCAGCTTTCATATCTCATTTGCACTTCCGTATATTCAAAATTGGTGCATTATATTTAGTTTAGTGTATTTGTGTTAAACCTGGTGAATTGCATTTCTTGAGTATGAATAAATGCATTTTTTTTCCTTTTGAGTGAACTCTTCATTTAAAATAAAATGCATCAAACTGATATATGTATGCATTTCTTCTACAGTTCATTGTGATCACATATGTCCTGGTTGTGGTCTGGTTGCTGGTGTTCTCCCTCTCTGCGCTTCCTGTCTACTTTTTCTACAACATGGCAAACACCTGTCACACTATCAGCATCCTCTCTGAGACGCCCTCCAGCATCAACCAGCTGTGCATTGATGCCAGACAGTACGGTAATAACCCCGCAATACATTTATCATATCTTTTCTGTCTCTTGACAGCTTAGAGATTTGATATCACGGCTCTGTAACCGTGATTAAAGTCTTGCTGATGCTCCGGTGTCTTTTGAAGTGTCCTGATGTTCAGATATTTTCTCACACTTGTAGTTTGGCAAGCTTGATTTCACATTTCGTTGCATTTCGAAATGGGTGAGATCACTGCATAATTCAACACAAGTGCAGGAGGAATATGGGTGCTTCTCAACCTAGAGAGGCTTTTTAATTAAAGAAAAATCTTTATATTAACTTATTTTATTAGTATTTTTTTCTGATTTCTTAATAATTTCTTAATTAGTGAATGATAATAGTATGACAGCTGCCTGTGGTTCACATCATGGGCAGTTTAGTGTTATGTCATAAGTTCACAACGAAACAAGAAAACATGAATTTCCTCTCCTCTCAAAAGTTTTTTTGTCTTGCATATCATAATGAACTCAGACAAGCTCAATGGCGACTTGATGTCCACCATTTATTCTGGAAATTGTAATGTGTGCAAATGATTGTTGGTATTTATTTATTTTTTAACCAGTTGTCTGAGCCATAAATGCCACGTGACTCTAACCAAACACAACAACACATGTTGGGTCAATGACATGATGCTTTTATTTTATTTTATTTTAGACTCAAAAAATACATCAAAATGCCATCAGGCTGAATTCAATACACCTTTTCTACATTGAGCTTTTTTTTTACATTTCTAAATTGAAATGTTTCAGATTTTAAAGCCAAAAATGTCAGTGTGTCTTGACATTGTAATGAAGAAAAACTTTTAAGGAAATTCTTCATAAGAAATATAGTAGTTCAGTAGGAATAATATTTTATTATTATTTCTTGAAGAAAAAAAAATATTTCAACAAAACCATTTCACTGCTTATTAATATTTGAAGGACTGGCAGGACTGGAATCATACAGACTGTCTCATAAATCCCTTAAATTATCAGATAATTTGACCTTTTTATGACAAGGTGAGGTTCATTCTAGTTGTAAATATGATGTCTTGTAAATCCCTGAAAATCTAATTATTTTTATGAATTAATAATAATAATAATTTCAAATATTTCTCACCTTAATTATGATTAAGATGTGTACACTTACTTGACTGACATTTTTAGAGTCGCTAAATTTCTTGAAAATGAATGTTTTTCAAAACCATATGAAGTCAATATAAATTATACAGAGGACATTTTTAAGAACTTCGCATATAAACTGAAAGATTTTTGCTTTATCACGGACAGCATTATTGTTATTAACCCACATGTGCACACTATGACAGCACACTTGGTTAAATTGGCTAAATGTCTGCATGTGTTTCTGGCCTTAGAATGTTAACGTCTGTTCTTTAAATGTGATGTTATTTATACTGACACAAATTTCAATAAAACATAATTTTGCCTTGATCTTTTTCGTGCTCTTACACTGTGTTTTTGTCTCTGTCTCTCTAAGGTTTACTTCCATGGAATGCAGTACCAGGAAAGGCTTGTGGGATGACCCTGTCTAATGTCTGCAAGACAAGAGAGGTAAGACGTGGCCCCGGGCGACATATGATTCAATGTCTTCCTAGAATTCTTTAGAAAACCTTCCTCAAAGCCTTGTCAAATCCAAAGCCAAGATCAAGCCTTCAAGCTGCGCAGTGGGTGTTTAGGATGACACGTTTCTTACTTGTTTTTCAGTTTTTCCTGATCTATGATCTCTACACCGCTGCCTTCGCTGGAGCGGGGATGACAGTCTTGGCTCTGGTGAGTGTCCAGAACAGAACACAATCACAGTGTGTTCTCATGACGCCGTTTCCGTAGGTGGCGAGGAATTCTGCTCCTGCATTTATTAACCTCTTGTTGGGGTTGGCTGTGATTTATTGTTGTCAGTTGTGGTTAGAAATGACTAGGATGATTGTGAGTGTGCTTTTCAGCTTAAAGGAACACTCCACTATTTTTGAAAATAGGCTAATTTTCCAACTCCCCTAGAGCTAAACAATTGAGTTTTACCGTTTTCGTATCCATTCAGCCGATCTCTGGTTCTGGCGGTAGCACTTTTAGCTGTAGCTTAGCATAGATCATTGAATCTGATTAGACCGTTAGCATCTGGCTCAAAAATGACCAAAGAGTTTCTATATTGTGTACTAAGACCGACGGAAAATGAAAAGTTGTGATTTTCTAGGCCGATATGGCTGGGAACTATACTCTCATTCCGGCGTGATAATCAAGGAACTTTGCTGCCCTACCATGGGTGCAGCAGGCGCAATGATATTACGCAGTAGGGCTGTCAAAAAAAATCAAATTTCGAATATTTGTCGAATTTAAAATAAAAATCCACATGCTTTAAGGAGGCAGCCTTATCAGCAGCGCACGAGATGACGATGTAAGTGTCGTAGCATTATAATGTTTTTGTTAGCCTGTCCAGTTGAAGCAACTAGATGCGGCGCTGCTGCGTTGTTCATTAAAAATATAGCGGAAAAAGAGAACATCAATGCGGAGAAGATCTTGTTTACATCAAAACTGAAACCAAGCCGTTCACACAGAACACATATTTCACGCATTTTCTAGACGGACATCTATTACTGTTGCACTCGCGTCTCGCACAAAAGAGCCGCATGTTTAGAAAGCCATATAAAATTAATGCAAGTTTAACTTTGGAAAAAAACATATCTCGAGACTTTATGGCGGGTTTTCCCCATCCCACTGCATCTCATGTTTTTAAATGAAAAATGTACTCTTTGATTGGCTTTCCGCTTTTTGTATTAAACTATGCATACATACATGATGCTGTTTTGTTTATAGTTGTTTAAGCAACTTAATTATAATTGGTTTATAAACATTATTTTAAACATTATGCACTTTTTTTT